TGTTTATTTGTAGATTGTGATCTGGCCTTTTAAATCACTTCTTAGCTCCATGAATTTGACATTTATGCTTCAGTCGTGCAACAAAAAAAATTGTATGTACTCTAATATTTAGGCACTCATGCATCCCCTCCCCCCCAAATAAATCCCTGAAACTATTATTTGGAATCCTATAAATAAAATCAGTAATAGAAATTGTGCAAATTAGATAATTGCTGTAGCACTCAGATTTTGTTTTACTGACCGTTTGCCATTTCATTACCAATATGGTAGAACCTGAAAGTATATGGCTATAACTATTTAATATAAACTTCAATATAAAAAATAAAAGTCTTTTCACAATTATCAACTATGAACTCAACAGTGTTTAATATTATTATTACATACACTGCTGCATGCATATTAAGTGTAATATTTCTTTTCAATGGACTGCGAAATTGCATTCATCTACCTCATAATTACAGAACCTTCATGTGTATGCATCTTCTGCTAAGAATTCATCATACCTTCACTATTTTGCTTAATACACAAGGCTAGGAATTTATTGCAATTTTTATCTGGAGCACCAGGTTTCTAGCTTTAACTCTGGATGTTTCATATTCAAAGATAGTCTGGAATAGCAGCTGTTAAACATTAAGAAAAGGGTTAATCCAGTATACCAGCAGTTACAGATTCCTTATACTTGGAACAAAAGTCTTTTTTATCAATATGTACAAAAAGCCCACAAAGTTTCCTCTGGAATCAGAGGTGACTGTAACAAATCTACAATTCTAGTCTACTGTTGTCATTTTCTGAAACAATCTTGTCAAAACACAGTGATGGTTTTTTTCTATGCTTATGAGAACATTTGCTAATGAAGTGGCCTTTGTATAATGCATCAATTTCTGTGCTTGGTATTGCATATCTGACATTCTAAGAATTACCAGCAAGTATATGGCTATTATGAAGTACAATAAGTTAGACATAAGCAGTAGCTCCTATTATTTCCAATCCAATGGACTGAAATAAAATACTAAATCAGTGTCTGAAAAAGGATATAGAAGAGGACACCAATTCAAAACTAAACTTATTTAATTAGTGCATTTCGCTAATCAAACATTGTCGGCCATAGCAATTCCACTTAATAAGAGACTGAAATGGATTATCTACCATGACAGAACTTGATGTGAGGGACTAGATATTTGCAAAATATTGAATGATAAGTATAAGAAAAAGAAAAGGAAAATAATGAGGGGATCCACAACTGCTTTATAATTATCAAATATTTTCAAGAATGGCAAACAGCAATATTATTACCCACTACTTTATAATCACTCTCTCATATGACTCTTAATTTCAAGAGCACAAAGTGTCAAGAAAAGTAGTCTTATACCTGTTCACACATATGAAATTATTTTAATATTATTCATTTGTTGGCAGAGGAAAATTTGCAATTCTTTTAACTTTTACAAAGTATCTTACAAAATCAAATTAAAATTTTAAAATTAAAATCAAAAAAAAAAAAGAAAAGGCAACTTCTTTGGTAAGAAGTAAATATTGAACATCATTTTAGTGTAACCTTCAAATCTCAGTTGAATTGCACATAGTAAGAAAATATAGTTGTGGCTATGTTTCCAAATCAAGAATGATATTCTCTGTTTAGGGAATTTTGTCTACTGTCAGTTGGGGGTTTAACTGAACATGGTCAACAGAAACTCACAAAGAGAAAACTTACCACCTTTATTTTAGTTATAGCTCTATTTCAAAATTTTGACCCCCAATGTATAAGTGTTTTGACTGAAACAGTCATAAATTTACTCTGAATGTTTTGTCCTCTAGATTACTTTTATGCTCTTACAGACTTGAATAACCTCATCTAGAAAGTTTCAGGAAAATTTTGTAATGTATGTGCTTGCTTGCCATTATGTTACACAATTACTAGCAGGGTTAAAAATAGATCACAGAGTCTTAGAATCACTAAGGTTGAAAAAGATCCGTAAAATCATAGAGTCTCGTTATTACCCTAGCACTACCAAGTCTACCACTAAACCATGTCCATAGATATCGCATCTGCACAGCTTTTAAATACCTCCAGGGATGATGACTCAACCACTTCCCTGGACAGTCTGTTCCAATGCTTGACCACCCTTTCAGTGACGAAATTATTCCTAATATCCAATCTATACTTCCTCCAGAGCAACTTGAGGACATTTCTTTTCCTATCGTCATGGAGGTAGACAAAAATCAACTTCATGCAGGTCATACATTCAGACAAACTAATTTGCAACCAAAATCAATGGCCAAAACTAGTAAAAAATGGGTGTAACCATGATGACACTCCAGTGACATTTAATAGGTTACAGGTTTGGTTTATCAGTCAGGGACACTGGTGCTACACAGACAAGAACAATGATGCAAAATGTGCATGCACGCACATACACAAGGAAGGCCTCTCCCTCATGGGTACCATGACTGGTATCCTGAAGGTTGGTTTGCTTCATTCATTCAAAGTGTTAAAGGATCACTCAAGGGTATCCAGTGGAAAAATAGTCACTCACTATATAGTTGAATACTATATTATTATATAGTTGAAACTATTATAATATAATTGAAACTATTATATAGTTGTATTATATAGTCATAGTAGAATAGTATAGACTATTCATCTTCTTTACCCTAGTCAAAACTAACACAACTGTTTAATTTTTTTCTTTATACAAAGAAATGTAATGTTTAAAATCAGGAGTCACAAAAAAGCCTAGTATTCTCCAGTATTCAACATAAAATTAATAAAGTCATAAAATACTGTTATTATAGAAGTGCAGTGAACTCCTCCTCCCCCAGCTTTCATTTAATAATATATACAAACATGAAAGACAAATATATTAAAATCCTACACTGCAATTTTATAGGACGCTTTCCATTGTCTGATGATACAAATGGAGCTAAAATATTCATTATTATTATAATTTCTGTACCAAATCATTTTAATCTGTATGTTCTCACAAATTACTGGTGAGGAAAGTAGATACTGTCACTTCAATTTTACAGATAGGCTTAGAGAGAAATATATTTGCCCATGTCTTTGAAGGGGACAGGATCTGAGGTCAATCCTCTCAAGTCTCAGGAACTAATTATTAGTTTGTCTTCTTTATAAATTGTAAAAGAAATCCTGCATTGGCATACCTAGGGAATGAACTCCTGTGTTTATTAACAATAGAGGTAAGTCTGCACTGAAAGAAAATTTATATTCACCCTTATTGAGAGGGACAGGTTAGTGAGGAACAGTGGAACAGCCTTTTTGTCTATTCAAGTCTTTGTATCTCAGCTGAGACTACCAAAAGAATGCTGGTTAATGCTGGTGGATTTTATGATAGATCCTTTGACAATCAGAAAGTGGAAAAGCATGGCCAGCTTATTTCGTATAACTTTTTGTTTCCTAAAAAGTACATCAAAGTGGCTTTCAGTAGTTTTGGACAATCAGAAATTTGAAAGGTGTAAGTATGGATTTATCAGTGGGGGACAGGATGTAACACTGGAAATGGAAATATTAAATAATATAATAATTATTAATTTAATAATAACACAAATATTAAATATTTAAATATCTGATTGCTTTAGAGTTGTTCTCTTTGGAGAAGAGTAAACTCGAAAGATGGCCCTCAGTTCATCTCCCATTTCAATTTTACAATTAGAAAGTTACATGTCTTTTTATTCCTGGGTAGATACCAAGCTTCTAAAACAAGATGAGATTTTTTCATCTTCTGCAGCTGAATAGCCATTGATCTGCCAGAGTAATTGACTCCTGATCTAGACCTGTGTGTATGTAATCAGATAGTAGATAACTTTGTAGTATCATTTAAAAAAAAAAAAAAAAGAAGCTTAAGTTACTTAAAACTTAAATGATAGTAAAGCTTGGTATTAGAACAATCCACTTCATTTTTCCAGAAATGTACATCTTAGAATGTGAGAAAGCTCTGGGGATAGCTAAGTCACAAGAATCATCGCTATATCTGTCCCATTTCTAACTCTATAAACTCTTTACCTAAAGATCTGCTAGGTCTTATGCAAGTAGCTCCTGGGACCCATAAAGAAAATCTTTTTAGAGGAATGGTTAAATTGGTTGTTAAATATTAAATGTCTACCTGTAGCATGGACTCAAGTGCCTAAGGGTTTTGAAAGAATTAAAACTGGTTCTTTCTGAATACTTATGTTACTTACCAGGATTTTAGACAGTTTTTCATCTACCCTGCTGATGGCCTTAGGGTGTGACAAAGTCAGTTAGTGTTCAGATGCAAAGAAATTCCATCAATTATTTGTGAAAATCACTTAATAAGTTCCTACAGTAGCTGGCAGATATTTGATATTTTGAAACTACTAAGTAAACCATAACACATTTAATCACAACTACATAACACAACTCTTTTTCATTACGAGACCACATTTAATCTTACTTTCTATCACACATATTTAGGAATTCCATGGACTACTTAGGGTGGATAACACTAAAATAATTAACAATACATGGAACTGTTCCTGCTGAGTGAAATCACATTTTGTGCTTCAGAAATAAAACATTAAAGCTAAATAAGAAATGTCTGGCACTGCAACACAGAGGGCTTCTCTACAAAGTGAGTGTGTTTCAATGACACTTCCATAGGATTCTGGCACAGAGAGCAGTCTTTCTGTCTCCTGGGTTACTTTTGGCCAAACTTAGCACAGCAACACAATAAGTGTGTGCTGTGCAGCCCGTATGTAGGTTCACTACAGGTGAGAGTGCAGCTTTGTCCTTCTACCTTCCCCTACTGTCTAATATAATAAAGATTAAAGAAAATACTTGGGGATTGTAAACAATAATATTCACTCACAGGGAGAAAGTCTCTGAAGAAATGTCAGAAATGGTAATGGTAGTAATTTATGCATGGAATATGATAGTTGTCTTGAATATTTTGTGGAAAAAATAGAACTGCAAGTTTCTGTCTAAAGTGTCTTTATTAATACAAGTTCAGAATTAATGTGGCAAAGCTAAGCTATTTCATAAGTAAACTATAAAAGTTGTCAGAGGTATAAAGAAATTTAATTAAATGTGAAATTATAGACAGGGTAGGAGTAGAGGATGCTGAGTTGATAGATACACCACATTTTAGGATGCATACTTGAATAAGGATATTTTTCATGCAACATAAGTGTAATAGGCAGGAAAATAGAATTAAAATATAAAGGAAATGTTCTAACTGGAGGGTCAGTTTATATAAAAACGTTTTGGTGAATTTAGTACTAGGTACATTTTAGATAATTTGGTAAATAAAAAAAAATGTGGAATAACAAAGTCTGAAAGGAAGTGTTTTGCATTAGCTAGATTGCCTTTTTCATCTTTTGAGTATTTAGCTCTATTTCTTACTTGAACTGGCTAGTTTGGACAAACTGTGATTATCTCTATTTCTGCTCATCTGATTTTAGCTTTGACCATCTCTAAGCTGTGTCAGCGGAAGCAACACTGTCAAAGATATACTCTGCCTTTGGAGTTGTATTTTTAGATTGCAAATGATCAAATAAGAGCTAAGCTTTTCTACAGCTTTTTGACATAGCAGTTGGGTCTGTTTCTTTTAAACTGCTTTTAAAATGATCACTGTAGATGGAATCACAAAATCACAGAATATGCTGAGTTGGAAGGGACCACAAGGATCATTGAGTCCAAGATAATGCAAGATCTGAGTATGTGGATTAGCCACACAAAGCAAACCATTATTCAATTGCTGGGGCATTCATCTGTCACTGGTTAGATGCAAACACTCCCATGGTGTCTTCTCAGCAAGCAACCTTCTACTTACGGTCAGGAGGCATGACAAGTTTAAAGTGTATTTCCCAGAAAATGTGTGATGGATTGGAAGACTATTACACTCCGAGTACTGCCTAGAAACATACATTTTACTAGAAGCAAATATCAATGTAGCAATTATCTGCTGTCACTATTTGCTACAGTCTTGTCAGTGCTCACACATTAAGCAAAATCAAAATAAATAATTAAAATTGTGGTATCAAGGTTTTTCCTCAAAGTTTCCTATGAAAAATAGTATCAAGGCAGAATGAACATTTTTGCATTATGAAAATTTTGTCTTGGCTTGTATGGAGCAGATGTTCCTTATATGGAACATTCAGGTTCTAATGCATATAATTTTGTGTACCTAGAACCCTGGAGGAATATTTGAAGTAATGGCACTTGTAAGGAGAGGTAGAATATTTTATATGTGAAAGTTTCTCAAATAAGCACTGCGTGCATACTTGATACTGTTTGGTTGCATAAAAGGAAACTTGATTAACCGCTGTAGAGATCTCAGAGGACTTGTCACAGAGATGGTACTTCTAGCATATTACCTAACTGGTCTAAATTCATCAGTGGAACTAGTTCTAGTTGCATGCAAAACTCTGATAATCATCCTGTGTGATACAGCTTGTTCTTCTTACATTATATTCCACTTATTATTTATGTTTAGGATGATTTGGGGGAGGGCTGCTTTTCCAGAATGTTGTTAGACTCTGGCAACCCAACAGGTGAGCAGACAGAAAATCAGGCAGTTTGTTGTTCCCAGCCTTTCTGCATTTATTCAGTAATTCATCAAAACCAATCTATTTTTGCAAAATGCTTCCATTTGGCAGATAAGTATTTTGTGACAAAAGTTCAGTTTAATCAGAAAAATCCTACTTAGTGCTATTCATTATATGGTAGGAGAGAGACAAAACAGATGCATTTCAGCCTACTAATCACAGAGCATGACTGGATGAGTTTCAATCATGTCTCTATCCTTTTTCTCTTAATTGCTGTTACTAATACTAAGATGGTAGCTATGAAACCTGCAAACTGCATTGCAACTTTTTATATTGACAGCTGTTGTTTTCAAAATTAGCACTATGTACTTAACATCTTATATGTGGAACACCATCTTCTGAGCAAATGTTGCTCAAGTGTTCTTTGCAGACATCATTGGTAGGTCACTTAAACTTCAGAGGATTCCTCATTATGGTTACGGTGATTGATAGCATCTGAAATATGCACAAAAAATAATACATTTGTAAATAAAATTAAGGCTCAGGTCAAGACAGTATTTATGATCTTATGATTTGAAATGACCTTAAGTATAGGATTGCAGAGGCATAAATGTATATAAATCTTTTTTTGAATTAATGACTAAATACTTAAAGTACAATCAGCAAATGAAACATCTAAATTGTGCACTGAATCTAATAAATAGGACAGCTGTGACCAAATATGTAGCTTACCAGTTTCTGGCTGGTATGGAGTTAATTTTCTTCCTAGCACCTGGTATGGTTCTGTGTTTTGAATTTAGTATGAGACTAATGTTGATAACACACTGATGTTTTAGGTGTTGCTAGGTAGCACTTACCCTAAATCAAGGACTTTTCCAGTTCCCACATTCTGCCAGTGAGAAGGTGCACAAGAAGCTGATAGGGAGTATGGCCAGGAGAGCTGACTCAAATTAACCAAGAGGATATTCCATAATATAGACCATCATGCTCATTATACAAGCTGGAGGAAGCTGGCTGGCAGATACTAGTTGCTTCTGGCTAGGCATTAGTCACCAGGTGTTGAGCAATTGTGCTGTGCATCAATTCTTTTTCTTGGGTTTTATTCCTCTGCGTCATTTTCCTTTATTAATATTATTATCATCATCATTATTATCACCATCATCATCACCATGATCATCATCAATCAATCATCATCATCATTTACATTTTACTTTATTTCAATTATTGAATTCTTCTTACCTCAACCCATACTTTTTTTCCATTCTCCTCCCCATTGCACTGGAGAGAGGCAGAGTGAGCAGTTGGCTACGTGGTACTTATTTGCTAGCTGGGGTAAAACCATGAAACCTAATAAGAATAGCTGAAAAGAATAAACATCATTTCTTTATTATTTTTATTAAAATAGTAAATTTTTATTTTTTAATAAAATTGTTGGTATTCTCAGCAGTGACAATGCCTCGGATTTAACTATTCTTACTTTTTTTGTGGTTGTATGTCATTACTGGGCTTTTGTTTAGTTAGAAGGAGTTTTTGTGAGAAAATACCTGTCATCAAAAGGAAAACTGTTCAAGAAAACATATGTGAGCCCACCCAAACCCTTCTCTTTTTTTCTTTTTTTTTTTTTTCCTTAGGAAGAGATATATTCTGGAATATCCGATAACTGCATGGTTAGAACATTTGAGGGAAACAAGAAACTGAATTTCAGCTTACTGCTTTGCCCTTGAATCATCACCGTTCTCTGCAAATGATCCAGTCACTTTGAAGCATAGCAATGTTTTGCTTTTGCTCAAGTATACAGTAAAATATAGTTAATGTGGTGGTATTATCATTTTAAAGCTTTGGTTACAAAGGAAATGCATGAGAAAATAGTACCTTTTTGGGATATACACTTGTCCAGCTGGTGTAGAAACATTTGATATAGCCTGAAGGCAGCTTTCCACAGTCACAGCTCTGAATAACTTTCAAGCAGCACTGCAGAAGAAACAAAAAATCAAGATTCCCTAATGTTGTTCCCAATATTCAAAGAAACTAACAAAAAAGTAGTATGTAAAGAAATATCTCTGTGAAACTCGATAAATTGGTACAACTCAAGATGTCTGACTAACACTTTTTTTTTCCTTCAATCTAAAGCCTGCCTTTTGATTTTATGCACTTAGTCTCTGTTGATTTGTTGTTGTTTTCAATAAAAAGTTGAATTCGTGACAACACTTTTTTTCCTTTTCCTTGACTTATGAGTGGGTGAAACATGAAGAAACAGAAAGACAAATGGAAAGGGGGAGAGAAATACAAGTTTGACTCTATTAAGCCTTAATTTCTTTCTTTGTTTAAATCTGGAACCTAAATTTATTCCAGCTCTTGGCTGAAGCATAAAGAATGCAAAGCAGAAGAAGTTTTTAACCAAACAGCCCTCATCCTTTCTACTGAATGGTATGGACTTCCATCTACAATTTCTACTTTATGGCAAAGCAAACAAAGGTTCCACTAGAAGGAAATAAAGGGTATTTTCATTTAGCCACCCTAATTTTTTTCTTGGAAGTTCACTTGTATTCATTTCCCTCTTCTAATGCAAGGGGATAGGGTTAGTTTCCTAGTATGCCTATAATCATCATAGAATATCCTCAGGTGTACGAGACCCACAAGTATCTTCCACTTCAACTCCTGACCCTGCACAGGACAGCCCCATGTCCTGAGAGCATTGTGCAAACATTTCTTGAACTCTATCAGGCCTGGTGCTGTGACTCCTTCCCTGGAGGGCTGTTCCAGTCCCCAGCCACCCTCTGGGTGAAGAATCTTTTCCTAATATCCAGCCTAAATCTCTCTGAGACATCTTCATGCCATTCCCTCAGGTCCTGTCACTGGTCACCACAGGGAAGAGATCAGTGTCTGTCCACATCGCCTCAGGAGGAACTTGTAACTGCAATGAGGTCTCCCCTCAGTCTCCTCCACCCTGAACAGACCTTATCTGCTCTTCATATGACTTTCCCTCAAGGCCCTTAATGGACAGGTACGTTGGTATGAATAGAAGAGGATTCAGCTCTATATAATAAACATATTGTTTAGACATTAAATTGACTATTTACTATTTTTCTTGAGTTCCTTTTTTGAAACTTACGTAAATTTTGTCTATTTTGTTCAGTAAGAGTAACTTACATACTTAAAATACTTAGAGAGAAAACAGATGGTACAGTGACCCTGAGATTAGCTCAACTGGTTAGAGCACGGTGCTAATAATACCAAGGTCATGAGTTTAATGCCTATATAGGCCATTCACTCAACAGTTGGACTTGATGATCCTTGTGGGTCCCTTCCAACTCAGAATATTCTGTGAATTATAAAGCTCTTATAATTATGCTAAAAATGTGGTTCTCTGGCTGATCTGGGAATCCAAAAGGAAAAACTAATTTATTTTATATCCATGAATGGGAAAGTTCATTAAACTTCAGGCTTGGGAAACAATTTAGTATTGATTGTGGTTAAGACTAGAGGGCTAAGAACTGGAAGGCTTGGCTACCATATTAAATTCTTGTGCAAATTTGCTCTGTGACCCTGGAAAAATTAATTAATTTACATTCTATAGCTCAAATCTAGTCAATTTTTTAAAGTCAGTCACTTAAATCAAAAGGAAAATAATTTAGTTTCCTGATCATTTGAGTTTAACTACATCTAGCTAATGTGGATGAGAATTGCTACTGCTGACTTTTCTCTCTTAAAATAAACTCTGTTTTTCACCAGCTTATATATAGACAGAGATATCATTATAAGGCCTCAGACTTCAAACCACAGAAGTCTGCCATTGTTAGTTAATGACTTTTTATTTGAGATTTAATACCCCAAGTTTTTTTAAATCTTGATATTAATCAAGGCAGAGTGTTAATAAAGGCTTTCTAATATTTTCAGAAGTAACTACATCTGGTTTAATTAAATTTTACTGAAACTAGATGCAACCTTTCTAAAATTTTGCAACCATTTTGGGGGTTGGAAGGAGATGATCTTTAAAGTCCCTTCCAACTCAAGCTATTCTATGATTTTATGATTCTCGCTGTCACAAAAGATTTCTTTAGCAGGTTTTGACCTAATTGGGGCTTTAGGTTTGGGTTCGGGTTGGGGTTTTTTATTTTTTGTTTCTCTGTTTTTAACTTCTGGGTACTGTAAAACAACTCTCTCATTCTAGTGAATTCATTTTTATTAAATGATGAGTGTGTTTCTGGGAGATTCCTTTACATGAGGAGAAGTGATGTATTCATGCATTTTATTAATATATCTAGGACTACTATAAGCCCTAGTTTATAGCATTCTGTAAGGTTCTGCAGTATATAGATAGTAAAAACTTTTGAGAAAGCTTTTTTTTTCTCTGTTGTTTATCCTTTTCACTATTTCATCCAATTTTGTGGTAGGTATCATCTCTACAAATCAAACTGGGCCTTCACTCTGGGTTTGGTTTTTTTTTAAATCTCCTCTAACAGTAAACATGTAAAATCTACTGTACTGTAACACAGAAAACTTGTTTTATTGAAGTACTTTATTTTAAAATGTCAGAACAAAGAATGAGAACCAGACCTTATACAGTGATGGAAACTTAACATTTGTCTCACAGTAACAGCCAACATCTTCATTATTTACAATACACAGGAAATAGAAGTAACCTCAGTTACACAGAAAATTCTGTTTTGTTTCTTAAGAAAAATATTGGCTAAAATACTCCAAATAAAACCTGAAATAGCTAATTCATGAAACACACATCCAGGCATACTGTTGTGATTGTTGAATAGGATTTGGTTATTGTCCACTACTGACAATTCTTCACACATAAATATACAGAAAGCATAGAGAGATTTTGCAATATATAGCAAAAAATATCTTCTGTTTTTAAGGAACTGATAGATGAATCATAAAAACATCCATACATGATTTCTTTCATTCTTAGTCATAGTCTTCTGGAAAACAAGCTGATATTTATAGGATAAGGATTTCAGGGAATGCAGGGTGTTGAAAGAGCAAAGCTGTGTGTTCCATTTTTTGGCATGCTTTTAAGTATGGAAGCATGAAAACTGGTACCTCAGCTATTTATTGGTCAATAAAAATAAATTAAGAAATGTTTAAACAGATTACCTAGTCCCACTGAAGCTAAAAACTTTTCCATTGGTTTTAATGCAGCTGAGACTTCATCTGAAATTCTCAGCATTCAAATCTTAAGATATTTCCATGTTAACTCAGTCTTCAAAAGAAAACTATGTCATTGATTCTTTTCTTGTACCTACCAGTCTCACAGAATCACAGAATATACCAAGTTGGAAGGGACCCACAAGGATCCTCAAGTCCAACTCCTGGCCCTGTACAAGACCACTCCCAACACTCACACCATGTGCCTGAGAGTATCATCGAAACACTTCTTGATCTCAGACAGCCTTGGTGATGTGACTCTTTCCCTGGGAAGCCTGTTCCAGCACCCAGCCACCAGTAACACTATTACTAACCCATCAATGTAAAAACCCTTC